CTCCAACAAGGCAAAGGCAGCGAGGCAAGAGAAGGCGTTTGCCCCGCTCACTCAGCGCAAGGTGCAGGCTCTCTCATTAAGCAAGCATTTTTAAAATCTTGATATGAATCTCGCGGAGTCGCGTAAAATATTTCATGCTAAATTCGTATCAACGAAAGAGAAACAAAATTTATATTTTGAAACACAAGGAATGCATGAATGGGCATTTATTTATGACAGAAAATATCTTGTATGCAATTTACACGATTCTAACACGCCCCCGATAGTAACACACGGTTATAATCAACCCACGAATGTTGAAAAAATGAATTAATGTCGATTCTACTGCGCAGATAAATGTCGATTCTACTTCGCAGATAAAATAATGATGGCTGAACAACATACACTTTGTGGAAAACATTTTATCAAATGCACATACTCGGAAAGTGCCCACACTATGTGCTGTTGAAGCCCTACATCAAAAACTTGCAAGCAAATATTCGGTTTCTTTGTCTTTCCAACCAAGCTCGCATGTCACCGTGGACCACACCGAAGACACCACCAACATCACTCGGTTTTCTGTTTTTGCCAACGCAGTTACTTTGTTTTTTAGAGGTAACCTTATAGTAAAATCGGTTTTGCTTTTCCAAGGCTGAAACACCATTCCACGAGATCGCAAAAACAAAAAAGCGATTTTGGATTCAGATTGGATTGGATTTGAAACATGTGTTGATGGTGACGGGGCTGGCCACTTTGCAGTTTTTTTTTTAGCATTTTGTTTAGTTTTGGTTTTTGGGTCCGATTGTAACATGCATGTAATTTTGAGCTCCAGTTTTTGGGTAAAGTGCGGCTGATCCCTGGCAGCAACAGGCAATCAGCCGCCCGGAGCCTTGAAAGCTTACAGTCGCCGATCGTGGCCTCCTTGCCACTATCAGTTGTGGAGCACGCATTCGTATCAGCCGTCGCAGTGCGTAGAGGAATTCGGAACACTCAAAAATTTTCACGTCGTATACAATGCACTTCGGCCGGGGAATTTGTTAATTTGTTTTATTCCGAAATTCGTACCACTTGGTATCACCGAGATTTTACTCTAGTAGGTTGTCTGCTAACACCGGGACATGTGATGGGGGTACCCCGCCAAGAATGAGTCAATCATAACATAATAACCGTAAATAATCGCACATTTGTATTTTGAACAGATAATTTTATTTTTCGTTCTAAGCAACAAACTCGAGCAAGTGCTCGAAGAGAAGTCAACGGAGAGCTCGATGCGTCGTGGGCTATCCGGCAAAGCTGGCGTGGCTACGAGCTGTGCCGTTCGGGTGCATAGTGGTGGTGTAGAAGTGTTACAGCCTAACCATTTGAAACACCTGTGGGCTTTACGTGGACCAAAGCGGACTAAGCTGTCTAAGCGCCTATGTGTGAGAAAAGTAATGTCAAGGTCATCGCGTTCAAGGCGAGATTACTCCAACAGTTGAGTATACCTCCAAACAGCGGCGCTGCTCCGATGTGTAGTGCAGCTACATAGCGGTTTTCGCCATGTCACGACTACGTCCAAGATCCCCAACATTGCTAGATTACCTCCCAACGAAGCTTCAGAGGCCTCCACCAGGTGCACATTGAAAGACTGTTTAATTACCTTTAAATTTAGAGCCAGGCCATGAATGGAAGATCTTTCAAGGAATGTGAAAGATTGTTTTTATATAGAACTGCATTGTTCTTTCTGGTGCTCATGATGCTATTTTTTTAATTCTGTGGCGTGTCTAAGCTGTTACCACAGCGAGGGATGATAACCAAGTATAAGCAGTTTCCAACGTACATTGTCTACTTATCTACAGTTGTAGCTCCTATTTCTTACAAGGTCACTAGCCTAGCAGTGAGATTTATAGACATGAGCTACCTGTTTTGTGCTTAAAAGAATCTAACAGAAGCCAGGGTGAGCTGTCTATTGGGAGTGGAACATAAATCAGGATACTGCGGTACTTTTGCTTTCATGGTGATCTCTGAACACTGTAAATACTAAGAAACGTTGAAGGTTTGTTAGGTGCCAGCTGCCACTTAATTGCTTTTATTTGAGACTAATTTACCCTTGGTCTTCTCAAACTATGACCCTCCAGCCTGTATTTATGACGTTCTATATTGTTTTAAGTCTGAGCACTGCAAAAAATAATCACCCTGGAATTTCAATATTCCAGGCTGCTTTTGACTACACCTGAGGGAGAAAGGTACCACCAGGCTGAAAGGGCAGCCCGGCACCAGAAGATACGGCGGTACCTGTCAGAAAAGCTGTCCAATCTCAAAAGAAATCACTACAAAGGTATGTGCATCTATACTCTAACTTCCTTAATTAAGCAATATACTATTTTGGGTCTCAAGTTTACAGGCAATTATTTTAAATGACGGTACAGATAAATTATTTAGTGGTTAATATATCTAAATGTTTATGCAAACAACTTTAAAGTAGTCTGTTGATCAGCTGACCACTTGAAAAAGGCTGTGGGTTGCTTGGTCGCTACTGCCATCCCATCAGGCCATGCTCGCTCTCTCCAAAAAGTTGCATGGTCACACAATTACAATGAAGCACGTCACTCTTACTGCCCCTTAGTCGTCTCTAGGCCCACTCTGCTGTTTACGTATATCAATGGTCGTCCTGTGTTTGGACTCATTGCTGATCTCTGAATTGCCCTTGATATGTCCAGGTTCATCCCTTTGCTGCCTGTCCTCCCCCGATGCGTGGTCCCACCACGGACTGCCCATGCTGTTGCAGGTCTGCCATCGCTTGCACCCCATGTTGTAGCCTTTTCACCCTTTTCTTCATATTAATTTAGCTTAATTTATATATTGCCAATACTATTGAAATGGAACAAATGTACTATCGCAGCCAATATGAGCTGAAACGCCACTGCACGTGGCACGCGATGAGAGTTGTCTCTCAGATTGTTCAGCAAACCTTGGTATGCGTTGAGGTAGAAACAAATCACTTCTTGTGCTCGTTGCACCACTATGCCGTTCCGTGTCAATTTTCAGCTCATGGTGGCACAATGAGTGCAAGAAGCAACCTGCCTAAACCTCAGCAAACACAGAGGTTCACTGATAATCCTACAGGTGGCTCTGATAGTACCGCACGCCAAGCGTCATGGCGCTTCAACTAATATTGGTCACAATAGTACTTCCTCGAATGTTTCTGGTTTTTCTGTACTACCTAGCCATTCCGCCCAGCGAAACAATGTATGATTTCATAACTTCATAATAAAAATATCAAAGCAATGCAGCTTGTTTGACTTTATTCTTATGAGTAGCTGCATTCACCGTACTCAAATGTCGGGCTGGCGATTACCAGTGTGCAGTGGACAATATAATTAAATTCTAAGTGGGATATGCACCTCGTCATGCTACAGGCATGGCATAATTAAGTTTCCAGATTATGCATTCACATATTGTTGCGTTTTTTTAAGTTGTGGCCAACTCGATTTGTTTCAAATTAGCCATGAAACCACCCTAATCAAACCGTAAAAAAATAGGCGTCTCAAAATACGACAGGTCATTCGACCATCAGACCAATCCAACAGACCATCAGGCCATCAAACCATCAGGCCATCAAACCATCAGGCCAACAGACCATCAAACCATCAGGCCAACAGACCATCAAACCATCAGGCCAATAGACCATCAAACCATCAGACCATCAGGCCATCAAACCATCAGACGTCCCAAAATACGACTCCATCAGACCATCAGACCATCAGGATTTTCCTGATGGTCTTTTCGATAGGGCGATAAGGCTGTTCTGTTCTATTTCATGGATTCCTTTAGATATTGCATACCGTTTCTCCTCCTCCATTGCCCTTTTCGTTGGCTGTTCTCCTAAGCAAAATTTTTCAGCACGGGCGCGCACAACCGCGCCTTGATAACGCTCGTGATGAAATTTGTCCAATTCAGCTTTCGTTCGAGTTATATCTTCCAAACCTTGCCCAGGACTTTGGAATTCTAGTTCTACCAGAACACGCAAATTACGTAGCAATGTTTTTTCTGTCTCAGCCTTCTGAAATTTAATAATAGTACCTCTCTCAATTGCTAGCTTTTTTATTTCTTGTTTAAGGAGCTTTCATTTAACAAATATATGTTCGGTTGTTTCTCCTATTTGCTTGATTAGATCTTTCGTACTGGCTACAAAGACTTTATCTTTTAATAATTGAACATTTAGTTTCCACAACTTCCAATTTATATTCTTTTTTCTTCGTTTCTTCCCAACAGTTAATAACACCATGCAGTGGTCTGTGAAAAATACTGGTTCAACTACATAACCACTTAAAGTGTTAATTAGGTCTACAGAACAGTAGATTCTGTCTAACCTCGCGTGAGAGGAGTTCTGTAAATGTGTAAATTGCAGGTGGTTTTCTTCCAGCTGGAAAGGGGCAACATCAAAAAGATTTCCTTCTTCAACTATGTCCAGCAGTAGACGTGCGCTCTGGTCAATTCGCGGTTTAAATGGAGTTATATCTGCTTCGTTGCAAACGCAATTAAAATCTCCTAACAGAACTAACATTCTATCTGATATTAAATATGGGCGCAGGTTATTAAAAAAATACAATTCTGCTATTAACCTCATTCGGAGCGTAAATACATATAATTCTCCACCTTATGTCAGAGACCTGAAAGTCGCACATAATGAAGCGGCCACAGAGGTCTGTGGTGACCATTAATTCAGACAGTTGGAAAGACTTCTTAATAAACAGTAAACAGCCCCCAGAGTAACCAACAGCGTGACTGACACATACTTCATAGTCACGCAGAAAATGCTGCGGGGCACGCTCTACCTGTTCATCTGTTGAGAGCTTTGTTTCCTGTACGGCCAGAAAGTCAACCTCCTTATCTTCAAGTAAACGTTTCAGTTGCTATTGTTTTTTTCGAGAATTAAAGCCTCTAACATTTAGTGTTGCAAAACGAGGGCCATCAACTAGAAGGGAAGGAGGAGAGAAAGGGGGAGGGGGAGATGGAGAAGGAGGGGAGGGAGAGAGGGGCTATGAATTTGGGTTTCAACACTAGCAGCTTGGGTGCAAGGTAGGTTTCCGCTTACTCACGGTGGTGGTGTCAGGTGGTGCATCTTGTTTTCGTTTGGTGTCGTTAGTGTCCTTGGAACTGTTTTTGGTCACGTCCATTGAGTCCGGTAGGTTGTCATTGCCTTCTGACGTCGTCAGCTTCTCAGCAAAATCTGCAAGCTGCTGAGTTAACTTCTGTTGTAGCGAGGTATTTTTGTCCTTGCTTTCCTGCAAGTCTTTTCCTTCATTCTCTGTCTTCGGGCTGGTTTGTGGTGTTTCCGAGACTTCCTTGACAGCTGGATCTTCGTTCTTATCGGAAATAGGAGGTCCGGCCTCTGCAGACCCGGCTTCCCTATTGAAAATTCCATCAAGCTACGTAATTTGGGACACTGACTGCCAGTCAGCAGCGTTGGTGGAACCTGATGGACCATGAGACGTCATTTGATGGTCCATCAGATGACGACTGACTGCCACTGTCAAGGGAATTTCATCAACAAGGGCAGCATTTATATAAGAGTAAAGCTATACACGTTTGCAAGTCTGGCTTCAGGGCGCTGCCATCTTGCCGGTCTGGGGTGCGCTTGGACCAGTCATAATCCGATTACGAAGCCTTGCTAAGGCGTCGTAATCGGATTATGGCCGCTCCCGAGAGCGCACCCCACTGAGGAAGATGGCGGCGCCCTGAGACCGGACTTGCAAACGTGTATACGCACTCATAAATATCGCCAAATGCCTCGATAAAACAAAATGTTCGAGAAAAAAAAAAAAAAGCAGCACCACCGCGCATCGAACCCGCGACCACATGCGTACAAATCGGACACCTTAACCGCTATGCTATAAAACCATTAGAGAAACTCGATTTGAATATTCGTTTTATACGAAATGCTTTGGCTGAAAATGCAGTTAACTCGTCAGCATGTTATGCAAAGCACTCGTACATCACTCGCCGTACTTCAGTTCTACTCATCTGCAATGTAGAGTACTTTCGCGTCGTAGAACGATCCTTTTGTTCGCGCATCACCCGCCCAGTAGACCTGGTACACCCTGTCGTCTTCAACTACACCGCTAAAGTCCCTTACATCGTCGGAACTCACAACAGGCTGGGTCTTGTCGAGTAGAAATTCTACTAAAACATAAGACATTGAGAGCCCGGGCAGGATCGACAGGTTGGAGCGAGCGGGCAAACAAAACGAGTCGAGAGCGATCGTTCATGAAAGCTCGGCGAAGCCTCTATGGGCGAAGCGAAGTGCGAAGTGTCGTATTCGGCGCTTCGGCGGGCTTCTGATCAAGGTTGTCGGTCGGTTGCGTGTCATATCTCTAACGTCAGCGGTTTTATGGGCTCACGTCCCAAAATCGTTTTCTCGTGCATAGATTACTTTTCGTATTCATAGATTTGACGAAATAGTGGTATCCGAACGAACTTTACGTCCTTTGACCGTACGTCTGTCTGCACGTCAAAGCTTTCTGACGTACAGTCAGAGACAATCGATCTACAGTCAGAATCACCACCAAGACATCCTGATGGCATTTCGCGGCGGCCGACTGCCACCAGGAAACCATCAGAAAGCCGACAAGCGGGGTCTGACTGGAGTTTGACTGTCGGTCAGAGTAACTTGTTGGCCAATCAGACATGCTTGACGTACAGTCAGGCACAGTCAGCGGTCCACCAGAAAACATTGACTGCCAAACAGGGTTACATTGATGGATTTTTCCTTCGGGTTGGGTTGGGAGAACCTCACCAGTGGCGTCTACGACCTCGGAGATATCCATGAACTCTTGGTTGGCATCTGGTTCTGTGCCAGAGCCCCGTAGCACGGCTGCATAGCTGGAGTAGCACTCGTCACTTTCGTGTCCGAATCTGTTGCAACGCGCACACTTTGGGGTGCGACACTGCCTGCGTATGTGACCAACTTTCTTGCATCTCAAACACAAGGGTGGTCGCCCGGACATGACCAGAAGCGACTGTATGCCGGCAACTCTGAGCAGATGGGGAATATCTTCCGATGTCGTCATGTCATGAAGAGTCAGACAGACCTCTCTGTTCAGCGTTTCCATGTTTTCCATCCCTGGCACGCGCCACTTTTCTCTCGAGACGCTACGCACGGTTCCAAATGGCGATAATGCTTCAGCAATCTTCTTATCTTCTAAGTACGACGGAAGCCAGAGGAGCTTGAGCTTAACATCTTTTGAGTTCGGGTCGATGACCATGCACTTTTTGCCCTTCACAGTCAGTTCTTTAGCCGCTTTGAGCTTCTCAGCGGCTTCAGAACTCACTAGCGTAACCATCCAAACGTGGTTCATTTGGAACTGTCCAAGGGACAACACTTCTCGGAGTTCGATGGCGTCTTTGAGTCCGTCGCGAAAATCAATTGCACGGTAGGGCCTGCCCGACATGTCGGCATGAAGAAAAACAGAATTGATGCACAAGCTTCCGGGAGGAAACCGTGGAAGTAGGATTCGATACTCATCTGGGCTAGTCGCCTGAGCTGGGCTTTTTCCTGGGGCTGCGGGTGCGGCTGCAGCGTTGACCGGTTGCATCGTTTGAAAGTCGTTGTTTGCATATGAACCAGAAGGAGAAGGGTTTCCTCGGCCTGGGGCCGATTGTTGATTTGCACCGGAGAACATAAAAACGCGTCCGTTCGAAACGGCGTCTTCTTCTTTCTCCCGGCCACCGATCCCCCCGAGCTGTTTAAATGAACACATTGAATGCGATAATTGAAGTCAATGCAATGAGTGCGATAAGGGAAGCACTCATTATCTCTTCGTACATATAGTCGTAAAGTAGGAGACAAACGTTTCCAGACCACAAGTGTGGTGGCCGATATGCAATGCTGCACCCTCTGCTGCCGAGACTGGCGTTTGGCGCGTGCGCATCCTTCCATACTGCCAGAGATGCAGACTCCTTCGTTTCCGAAGGCCGCGCTGCGCTTCTCAGTAACTTGACGTGTGGCGACACTTCGGAAGCATCCGCGCTTAACTGCGCAAAATATCCGCTAAATGCCACGCTGGCAGGGAGCGCCTGCCAATCAGCGGTACAGGAGGAGGAGCCAATCAGCGGTACAGGAGTCGAAGTTCGTTGAAATTCTGACTTTTCAGGATTCGAAACTATGGAGGGACACGCATGCACCAAACATCGGTCTTGACAGCAGGTACCGCGGCCAACAGAGGGCGTAGCCTTGCATATCGGCCAAGACTCGCGTAGTCTGGAAACTCTTGTTCTCGACTGTACATAAATTAAGTTTTGACTCTTCAACAGACCATGCTTGCATTTGTGACAATGCGCTGACTGGATTAGGATATAACAGGATACTATGCGAGTTCACTCGATGTCAAGTTATTACACTGGGTTTTCGCACAGACAGGTTGCACAGGAAAGGGGGAAAACAGCCCAGCCTAAATGACGAAGATATTACATCTTAAACCAACACCTATGCCGTAACTGACAGCATTGTCAAGGGCTCCGAATTATGACCGTTGGGTCTTTGCAAGATGGTCCGAAAGCAGGATACACAAACTGAAATAATCAGCATACTCAAGTACTTAGTAAATGCACTCTCGTTTACCATCTTCGGGTACTCTCGGGCTGTAAGGCCAGATGGGGAACACCATGAAAGAAGCCCGACACAGCTGGCCACACCAAGAGTATGATCGAGTTGCTGTAACAGAAATAAAATATGTGCAGGTTAGCACATGTCAAGCAAAACTATAGGTTGTTTTAGAATAATTTATGCAATTTTAGCGCATCTAGCGCTAAATGTAGCTCTTGCGTTAGCGCACGCTGCACCAGAGTGTTTTAAAATAACGCTTTTCCGCCGCAACGGAAAAGCCCAAACATCTAGCGCTCGCAATGCCACAAAAATACAGTAACACTTTTTATTTCGCACACGAAATGCTGCAACTTGAGGGGAAAAAAAAAACAAAAAAAAAACGTTTATCGGTTTAGAGTAACAATCTAGGTTTGTTTAAATATGAGAATGGAATGAGAGTGGTTGACCGGTCGTGTCCACTTGCGTCGCCTCGGCAAGAGAGGTCTCGCGTACTGATCTTCGCACAGCGTACCTTTGCTGAGAAATGTTCGCGCGTCGCAAGCAGCAAGTTTCCGGCGATCGCTGCCCACCTTGCTTGGTCCTCTTAAACGTTTCTGACATGCATCTCCTTTAAAAATGCAATGTCGTCCTGCGGTGAAGATCGTAGTTGAGAGGATGCGGCCGGACGTCGAGTGCACTACGTCTGCCGCAGTCGCGACCTAGGAAATTTGCATCTTTCAACTGTAGTCGTCTTAGTTTTTAGCCAACTTCTTATCACAAATCCTTCTCGGAAGAGCATAGACTCCATCTCTGCCCGCAGTATGGAGACTTCGTCTCCATACTCGCACAAAATTTCTGAAAAATAGCCTGCGCTGAAATAGCATACGCAAAGTGCGAAACGTGGTTAGCGTTCGGCGCATCCACAGTGGCAACGACGCCATTCTTTGCGTACGCAAATCTGTAGCGTGCAAAATTCTGAAACTGCGTAGTAGCTACGTTTACATGAATGCGACTTAGCTGCACCGACTTCAGTTTCTGCATCCAATGCCGTCATGTTGATGGCAGACTGCACTAAATAAGCGCATCGCATTCAAATCACTAGACGGAGTAGCCTAAGTTAAAGAAGGTCACACTGTATCTTGAGACGGGGAGGATTATGAGAAGGAGCTTCTGCAGGAGAGGATGCTGAGAACATGGCGGCGGCCAATCTTGTTGTCTTGTTGATGGCGCCAGGAAACGGGCACAATCTCGGTTGTCACTCCGCAACCTTCTCTCAAGAAGAAACGCTAACTTTTCTTGCTATTGTACACGAGCTGAACATAGCCGAGCTGCTCGTTGAGGGAGGCCCCCACCGTGACCTTGCAAATAACGACTTCCGCATTGAAGAGAGTCTCTAGAGGCTCCGTTGTAAGCAGGAACGGCGTCGGGAGCGTCACGTGCTCGCACCGCAGCAGAAGCAGTTCCTACCTCAGTGCTGATCCTCATCTGAAACGTTTCCCTTCCAGGACCAAAATTGTTAGCGGTCCGCTCTCAAGTTCAAACCTTCTGAGCGCTAGCTCTTCTCGTCTAAGGTCCGCTTGCATTTTTTGCTCTGCGGCCTCACGAGCCACTTGTAAGTTTAATCGCTCTCTAGCTGTCTCTCGCTCTCGTCGCTCTTCTCGAGTTGCTTGACGCTGCTGCTCATCAGCGTTTTGAGTCTTACTTTCCGGAAAACTATCCCACACCTTTTTAATTTCATATTTATTGATCGTTTTTTCTAACTCTTCAAGCAAGTATGGTTTTCTAACTGCTTTTGGAATGTTGATCTTAAGTTCCCCAGCAACCTGCAGGAACTCCTCTTTTCGTAGCTTCGGCGTATTCCTCTTGATATCAGCGTAGATGCGACCACTCTTCAAATCTTTCAAACTTCTGCGGTACATACCCGTGCAAATAAGAAGAATAATACAATGAAACAAGTTATGCGCAAAACCTGAGCACTACGCGTCTTATAGCGCACTGCAATTTTACTTCTGAAAACTTCAGCGAAATTTTTCCCTGAAACTTTTTTGATGTCGAGCTCACCTTTAGCTGAAAACAAGTCTAAGTGCAAAAAAGCAAACCAAAACACGCTTTTAAAATAACCTTTATAGCATACCGCACTGCTCCTTTCTCTAAGAGCAGTCAGTGTACCTACCACGCTGCACAAAATTCCCATCATCTGGCAAAGCCGTTTTCTCAAGACCCGGATCTGCTCCAGATCCTAACACAATCGATCTCTGAGAACCATTAAACTTGATTGAAACTGTTGGCTTTCGAAGTGAACTTCGCCTTAAGGGCTTTACAGCCTTTCAAACTCCGAAAGTCAAGCACAGCTTTGCAAAGTTCGGAACGACCATGGAACGTCAGCAGTTCACCGAAATCCGAGCCCAATACCCGCGAAACCCGGCCGCCCGATCTTTGCCCTTGAGCCCATGCTACCTGATAGATGCCAGCGACGTCGTTCCGATATCCGCAGATGGACCAGACACCACTGACGGCTGAGCTTTGGCCCTTGCTCAGACGCTGGCTTAGGGCGCTCAGGGACGTTCGACGGCGGCTGACACCCCTTCTTCCTCAGATGGAATGTGGCCGGTACGCTCATTCGGGCCAGGAAGGATCCCAGCCTGTGGACCAGGTTTGGGCTATGTAGATGACAATATTTTAATGGGACATAATTAGATGATAGTAGCGTGCGATGATAGGTTTCATTCTGTATCCCACGCGCAAGTCCGGGGTCCCCCTTATATAGCCGCAGTGACGTGACGATGTTGCGTCACCGGCAGGACTCTGGTGTGATTGGTGGTGGCTGTTGGCTTTGATGAAGATGAGTTCTAACAGTCACTGTTACCGGCCCGGGGGGGGGGGGGGGGGGGGGGGTGTCGTGCAGGCAAAAAAAAAGGGGGAGAAGTTGTTCTTGCTGGGATGCAGAACTGTTTCTCACAAAAAAATTAAAGGGAGCGAGGGGAAAGGAAGTAAGAGTGACTATGGATGATGTTGTGAGTCGCTGGCACGCGCTCACTTGTACACGCACATATGTACACGTCCACACACACACACACACGCACATAGATGGGCACTTCTTGCTCCAACAAAGACAAAAATTGTCTTTTCTGGGTTGGTGTCCTCTGTCACAGCCTCTCTGACAGGCCGGTGGCGCTCAGGAAGTTTAATAGCAGTTGCTGAAGTGCACGACGCCGGCGTGTAGTTCCAGTCGGGTATAATATGTCATCTATTTTTGGTGTCGTAATGCCAAATTTGGATAGTTCTTGGAGGAATTCTTGTCGCTGTATTTCATAAATGTCACAACACAGGACAACGTGTTCAATAGTTTCCTCTTCGTCACATGTAGTACAAATAGGGCTGTCCATGATGCCGATTTTATGTAGAAAATATTTGGTAAACGCGCTATTCGTTCGTAGTCGCATTAGGAGGGTGTTATTAGCGCGGGAAAATCCTTTGGTAACGCAGGGCTGATGTGCCGTTTGGCTGGACGGAGCAAGATTTTCGATGTGGGCTTTCACAAGACAAAGCGAGTCCTTGAAATTCGTTGGGCTTTTAATGCTGGAGGTTTGGTTGTGTGCTTCCC